TCAGGTGGGCACAGCCCCTGGAGCCGTGAGCAGGCACCATGGACTGGAAGAAGCTCCAGGACCTATTGAGCGGAGTGAACCAATACTCCACAGCATTTGGGCGCATCTGGCTGTCGGTGGTCTTCGTCTTCCGGGTGCTGGTGTACGTGGTGGCGGCTGAGCGTGTGTGGGGTGACGAGCAAAAAGACTTTGATTGTAACACCAGGCAGCCTGGCTGTACCAACGTGTGCTATGACAACTTCTTCCCCATCTCCAACATCCGCCTCTGGGCCCTGCAGCTCATCTTCGTCACGTGTCCCTCCATGTTGGTCATCCTGCACGTAGCCTACCGCGAGGAGCGGGAACGGAAGCATCGCCTGAAGCACGGGGAGCAGTGCGCCAAGCTGTACAGCCATCCCGGCAAGAAGCACGGCGGCCTGTGGTGGACCTACCTGCTCAGCCTCATCTTCAAGCTCATCATTGAATTGGTCTTCCTGTATGTCCTCCACAGGCTCTGGCATGGCTTTACCATGCCACGTCTGGTACAGTGTGCCGGTGTGGAACCCTGCCCCAACACCGTGGATTGCTACATCGCTCGGCCCACGGAGAAGAAGGTCTTTACCTACTTCATGGTAGGTGCCTCTGCCGTCTGCATCGTGCTCACCATCTGTGAGATCTGCTACCTCATCTTCCACAGGGTTATGCGAGGCGTGAGCAAGGTCAAGTCTACAAAGAGCAGCAGCTCCCAGAAGTCCTCCAGCCGAGCCTCCACCTGCCGCTGTCACCACAAGCTTCTGGAGAGTGGGGATCTGGAACCAGACACAGTCCCAGTCGACGCCAAGCCGAAGGCGTCAGCGCCCAGCCTGACCCCCATTTGAACCGCGCGCCTGGAGACCGAGTGAAGCGGGGAGGCGCTGCAGGTGGGAGGGGTCCTGGGGGGGGTACTTGGTACCCCCCATTTTGAATTCACTAAGCTAGCCAATTCCGTTTGAAGCAGATATTTGTGGGCGCTGGGCTTTGTGCTGGCTACCTGGTAGAGGTAACATGGCAAACCCAGCTTCAGAGAGACATTTAGATTAGCAAATCCACCACATGCATGCAAGGGTCTGGTAGCTGAGCTGGTAAGCAGGGCTTCTACCTACCCCAGGGGACTGCCAGGCCAGGCATCTTCTCAGAAAAGCACAGAGGAGGAGGGGCGAGACTCTCCAAGAAGAGACAGCAACAGCAAAAAAGAACTGCGGGTCACAGAGAAGAGGGGCTGGCCCTGGACTGGGGACAGCCAGCCAGAGGGAGTCTTTACTCCCCCACAAGAAGCTGCTCGGTTCCTAGGTGGAATGTTCTGGAGGCCAAAGAGCAAATGTGGAAAGTGGTAGCAAGTCTTGTCATGTCAGCTGCTGTTTGAGACACTCGGGGGTCCTCTGGATCCCCTTCCCCAGCCTCCGCCTTCAGGCTGCAGTACTCTCCTTCCTCCAGCAGGGTGCTCAGCCCACCGCACCCTGTGGCCAGGACCTTGGGGGCATGCATGGAATGGGAATACATCCAAGTCAGTTTCCTTTAAGGCAATAAAGTTGTGTTTTATACAATTTGGTTCTTTTCCTCCATTCTCCCCAACTTCCACCCACAGCTCCCTGAAGTCAGAGGAGGCAGCCCCGGGAATAGGAAAGAGCCCTGGGGCTTGGGGATGAAGCTAGGTTGGGGAGTGTGACCTAGGCTGAAGCTGAGGGTGGGAAAGGGTGCAGTTGCTGGTGGCAGCTGGTGGCAGGCAACCTGGGGGCGGGGAGGACGGACCAAGGGATACACATGTTGGGATTCTAGTTGTGGCCACCAGAGGGCGCCTGCAGCCTTCCGAAGTTAGACTGATCTGAGCACACACAATCAAGTCACTCTCATTACAGATAAATTTACACTCCGTCACTCAGTCCACATCCCCACCCTGTGTTCACAAAATCCCTGCTACTCATACTCTCACTCATGTACACTCATAGTAGAGTAATAGCCACTCTAGAGACTGCTCACATCCCAGCCTCGCCCAGCAATTCATTCAACTCTGTCCACCCCCCGCCCCAACTCCCTCACACCAGCCCTAAGAAAGGTGCTGGGACAACCTAAGTGGACCTATGCCCAAGGTGCCAGTCCCGGGGAGACAGAAGCACAAGCTCTCTGCATTACAGCTCTGCTCACAGCCCCACTCCAAGTGCAACCATGACCTGCCGAGGAAGAGAATCCAACGTCCCAAGCCAGACTAGAATATGAAGTAGAGCCTTGTGCAAGCATAGACTAACCCTCAGGAACATTTAGTGACCATTAAAACCAATGCCAAGAGCCAGAAAGTCAGGAGCCAGTGGGCTGACAGCCAGCGAAGGCAAAGAGAGGTCAGGGCACCTCGCAAACAGACAGGCTGTGGTTCACCTTTGCTCTCTTGTGGCCGTTAAGGAATGGGTGAGTCAGCCCGGTTTAACGGGCTCCGGCTAGGCTGATTATTCTCTGAACCCCCGCCCCCCCCCCAGAATTAAATCACTGCCTCGTTATTTTACAATATTTACATTATTTTACACCTTCACCACTCTACACTTGGATTAAACTGCCTTATCATCAGTCCAATAGGACCTCTGTCAGTTAAGGTCACAACAGAAAAAGCATGACATATGCAAATTAAGTCACTATGGTAGTTCATGCCTGTAAGCTCAGCACTTGGGAGGTCGAGACTGAAGGACGGTGAGTTCAAAGCCAACCTTGGTGTCACAGTGAGGTGGTCCTGAGGGGTGGAGGATCAGGGGTGGGGGGTGTTTCCTACAGAGATAGTTTTCAAGATCATGAGTGTGACTGAGGAAAATCAAGGGATACCACAGTGCCTGTGATGGTAATTGTAAACCGGGCAGGGCATAGAATCAGCCAGGAGACCAGCGTTGGCCGTTATCTGTGAGGGACTGTCTAGATTAGGCTAACAGTGGGCAGCACCTCAGAGAACGAGGTCCTGGGCTGAATAAGAAGGAGAGTGTGGGCTGAGCAACCAGCCCTGAGCTTCCTGACTGAAGTGACTGAGAGTCCTCATGTCCCTGCTGCCATATCTTCTTGCCATAACAGATTGCAACCTGGAAGTGAGACAATATAAACCTTTTCCTCCTCAGGTTGCTTTGTGGGCGTTTGAAAAGCCACTTGAAAAAAAAAATTCTACGGTACCTAGGGAATGGTGCAGTCACCTCGGGTGTGTGTGTGGGGGGGGGGGGGTAAGTACCGATGTGCTAATGAGCATGTGCTAGAGGATGCATTCCGACACAGGAGCCAATAATCCCCACCCCCACCGCCTCACTCTCCCACCTCCTGTAAACCTGCCCGTGGCTCTCACTGACCCAACCCAACCAGACGGTGGAGGGCGAGGGCCCGGGTGAGTCTGTGGGTGCAGGTGAGTCTCCCAGGACGCAGAGCGGGGAGGGTGGAGAGTAGCTCTGAAGGGCAGAAGGACTCAACTCAGCACTCAGAACAGTTCATTCTAAGAGGACTGACTGCTCCAGAGATCAAAGGAGGCATGTAGGTAAAACATTAGCGCAGAGCCGTTGGGCCCAGGAAATGCCTAGGTGTGACTGTGCCTGCAGAGTCTCTGGTGATTGGGCTCTATCTGGGTAGCTCTCTGCCTGGGCTGGGCACTTAGTTACAAAGGTCCCAGGGAGGAGTGATCTCTACCTGTTTGCTGCTACTGATTTCAGGATTGTCTTTTTTTGTTTTTAATTTTTAAAAATTTTTTGATCATGTGTGTATATGTCTGGGTGAGGTATGTTTGTTTATGAGTGCAGGTGCCCATGGAGTCCGGAAGAGGGGATCAGATCCCCTGGAGCTAGAGTTACGGTGGCTGTGAGCACTCAGGTCCCCTGCAAGAGCAGCAAGTACTCTTAACCACTGACCATGCCCCACTTCCTTTAAAAAACAAAAACAAAAACAAAAAACAAGAGTTTCAAATAGCTTCTTGGCCAGCAGTGGCCACTCCCCCTTCCGGATTTTGTGTGGTTTAAACCTGTGCAAGCTCTGTGCTCGCTGTCACGGTCCCTGTGAGTTCATATGTACATCAGTCCTGTTGTGTCTGGAGGACACCGTTTCCTTTGGAGTCATCTACCACTTTCCCTCCATTTCTGCACAGATCCCTAAGCCTTGATGGGAGGATTTGATAAAGACATACCTGCTGGGTCAGGGAAAATCCGTTTTCACCAATGGAGCGTCACTGGGTATATCTGCACATTCCAGGGAAGGCCCCATGTCCAGGAGTAGTTGGCCAATACAAAAGGAACTCCGTGGTTTTGTGTGCTTTTTGTTTTGTTTTGGAATTTTTGTCTTAATGCTTTAAGTTTGTTTGTTTTGGTTTTCTTTTATTGTTTTTTGGGTTTTTTTTTCTTTTTTTGGAGAGAGAAAGAACATGACTTTGGGTGGGTAGAGAGATGGGAAGGATCTAGGAGATGTTGGGGGAGGGAAAAAGAATATGATCAAAATATAATGTATGAAAAATTCATAAAAACAAATTTAAAAAAAAGTTTCATGTCCCCCAGGCTAGTCTTGAACTTGCCATGTTGCTGAGGATGACTTTGAACTTCTGATCCTCTTGCTGCCTCTCCCTGAGTGCTGGGGATACAGGTGGGCATCATCACACCTAGTTTTATGAAATGCTGAGGATCAATCTAAGATCTTTGTGCCTGTGAGGTGTGATGGTTTGAATGAGAATGACAGGCTCATATATGTGAATGTTTGGTCCTTATTTGGTGGACTGTTTTGGAAGGATTAGGAGGTGTGGCCTTGTTGGAGGAAGCGTGTCACTGGGGGTGTGCTTTGAGGTTTCAAAAGCCAGGTCCAGTCTCCCTCTCTCTCCATCTGCAACTTTCAGATCGGATGTGAGTCCTCGGCTACTTCTCCAGCTTATTCCATGCCTGTCTACCGCCATGATGATAACGGACTAACCCACCAAAATTGTAAGCAAGCTTTCCTTTCATAAATTGCCTTGGTCATGGTGTTTTGTCACAGCAGTACAACAGTGACTTAGACACGCGACAAGCACCTACCAACTGAGCTTCCTTCCTAGGCCCCTCCAGAACCTTCCTAGGTAGGTGACAGATGTCTAACAAAGGGTGGCCCAGAAGTCACAGCAACCAGAAAACATCAACTCTTCCAGGAGGGGACTGAGCTCTTGGCCCTGGTCACATTTCTCCCAGATGGAAGCCAAGCCCACAGAAGGAGGGACATCTTTCGCCTGCTTCCCTGGCTCTTGCTGGCAAGTCCATTCCTTTATTGGTATAGAGCCAACTTCTTCAGGATTCCGATGTGTGCTAAAGACCAGCTGAGATCTCCAGCCTTGCGGACCAAACAACTACTGGATCATAAGACCTTCCGTTGGTAGATGGCCACTGTTGGATTGGGTAAGCCATTCTAATAAACCCCCTTTCTGCATATAGGTAGATTCATTCTCTAATTTCTGTTCCTCTAGAGAAACCTGACTAATGCAGATTTTGGTACCAGAAGTGGTTCTAGAGCAACAGAATTATAAGGATGATCTTTAAAAAAGTTATATGGAATAACTTTGCAATTTGCCAATACCTACAGTTAACAGTTACTGAAGCCTCTCCTGGAAGCTCGGAGAGCATTGAAAGCCCACACTGTGAACTGTTTTACAAACCTAAGCAGACAAATGCATCTGATTAGCCTGATTCACCAACTGTGAGAAGCAACAGATTTGGTGACTCTGTCTATAAAGCTTTTAATAGTTTGTGGAAGAATAAGGAAAATGATGATGTTGGTTACTAAACTCCTGCCCTCCCTGGATAAATTGACAAAGGAAAAGAAAGGGTTCCATGATAAAATTAACCAATTTCTAGCATCTCAAAACACAATGAAAAACAATAAATTTAGGGACAAAACTGACGGATTCCAGATGTGGATAAATGTCTAAAGTTTTCTACGTATGCCCCGGAAGAGGATCTTCTCTCCAGCAGCCACCAAGCTCAAGTTTTAGACAAACCAACGCTTTCATTCGGATACTGGCTGAATTAGAAAGAAAATTCAAGCCCCAGCCTCTGAAGGTGTTAAAGTGGGAGCACTGATTGGTAAAAAATGGGATCCTGTAACTTGGAGTAGAGATGTGTGGGAAGGCCCCCATTGAAGCTGAGAACTGTAAACCCTCAGATTCTCAAGGGTTTATCTCACCTGAGGAAGGAGTCTCTCCACCCTCAACAGAAGATATACCCCACGCCTACCCCCACCCACTGAAATATTGCCTTTTCTGCCTTGGACTGAGGAGATTAATCTTTCATTGTCTGCTAAACCAGCAGTGACTTTCCCTAAAGGAGATGCCAGGCAAGACAATACTGCCGTCCCTCAGGGCTCACCAATGGTTACCTCTACACCTATAACCTAAAGCAAGCTCCTAGAAAGGAGGTAGAAAGTGTAGTCCATGAGGAGGTGCACCACACTGCTAAAGAGCTTAATGAGTTTGCCAACTCATTCAAGCAGAAGTCTGGAGAACATGTGTGGGAATGGATTTAAGGATTATGATAATGGCAAAGGGAGCGTAAAACTGGATCAGGCTGAGTTTATTGATACGGACCCT